ACTAGGGTCCCTAGAACACCATACCCGCCAAAGTGTTTGTCTCCCTCCCCTACCTCTACGATCTCTACTATGAGAATGTACGCTCGCGTCACGGCACAGACAACTTTTTGCATCGGAGGCATGCGAGCGCCTGTCACGCCAACTGTTCCCCTCGTTCTCTGCTTCTGCGCTTCAACTGGGCCTGGTCGATTTCTCAAGTTTGGGTTTTGCCATTCATCCGTCACGCTTTTACTGTTCTCTTGCGATAGCTTATGGAATGCGGCCTACGAAGATTATATATATAGGCACAATTTAAGCTCGTTGTTGTGAAGTTTGTTAAAAACAACTGGAACAGTAACGCTGCCAAGCACTTCAGCGTAAACTTCAACATGTGATGATTGGCGCGATCGGTACAGGAGAAAGCAAAGTGCGTTCTGCTAATACAAGTTTTCTTCCTCTGAAGAGGGCCTTTTCAATTATATGCGAACGCTTGGGTCTTTTGGTATCACTGTGTCCTAACACCTAGTTTCTCCCAGAATTGTCGGAAAGAGCTTTAAGAAAACGGGGCATTTGAACAGGCTCTACAGAACCGAGGACGATGCGCAATGAGAGGGCAGTTACAGTGGCCGCGACGATGATTCTCAATTGCAACTTTCGATCAGCAATCCCGAGTAGACCGTGCGTGACCTCATCAGACTGGTTAAAGTACGTGCTAATTCTGTTTAATTAACTGCATGCATCTGGACTATTGCACTTTATGTCATATGTGTTTGCGAAATCCCCATGCAAATTGCGCACCCCCTTCACGAAGCCCTAATATTGTGAAAAAATGTGTGCAAATTATCCAAGTAAGTACGGTATGTGAATGAAAAAATTACAGTTGCCGTAACTGAACTGGTACCGTGAGAAATCTTTGAATTAAGCGGGTTGTCAAATTGACAGAACATGCCAAAAAGTGGAATTTAAGGAGAAATTGTTCAAACTACCGTAAAAACCGGAATATAGGTCGAATTTTTTTTCAAAGAGACGCGATGAAAAGTCGACCCCCGTCTTATATACCGGTCATTGGCAGAAAACTTATGGAAGTCTTGCAACAATGGGTTGACAAAAGTCGGTAGGCTCCATTGCCATCGTGAGCATCAGCAACAGCATCGTTGGGCGGCCGCGACGCCCATTTTGCGTTTTGTTTGTCCCGATTGCGAAGCAAGGGTGGCTGCGGTGGTTTTGCGCTGTTTCATTATCCCCATCTGAGGCTATCTCCTTCAATATGAGTGGCAGCCGACGTCAGTTCACGATGTGCTTCAAGAAAAAAGTCATCGAATATGCGGAAGCCCACGGCAACCTGGCGGCACAACGAGAATTCGGCCCGACGGAGAAGAGCATCCGATACTGGAGGAGCCAGAAACAGCGCATCATAAGTTGCAGCAACCAGAAGAAAACGTCGTTTCGTGGACGGACTGCAGTTCACCCCGAACTGGAAACGGCACTCGTCGAGTTCGTACGGGAGCTGCGCGCAAGGTCGCTACCCGTGACAACGGAGTGCATCCGCGTGAAAGCGCTCGAGATTGCGCGCGACTCGGGGCTCACGAGGGCGCAATTCAAGGGCTCGCCATCGTGGGTGCGCCGATTCATGAAGCGGAAGGGCCTTGTTCTGCGGCGGCGTACTTCAGTGTGCCAAAAACTACCCGCAGAGTTCGAGCACAAGCTTGTGGAGTATCAGCGCTTCGTCATCGAGCTTCGTCGACAGCGTTGCTACATGATGGGCCACATGGGCAACGCTGACGAAACTCCGGTCTGGTTCGATATGCCATCGAACACGACTGTGACCGAGAAAGCAGCGAAGCAAGTGAAGCTATTGACAACGGGCAACGAGCATTCGCGGTTTACCGTGATGCTCGCGTGTACAGCAGACGGAAAGAAGCTGCCTCCTTATATTATTTTTAAAAGGAAAACGCTACCGAAGGAGGACTTCCCTCGGGATGTGATCGTGAGGGCAAGCGAGAAGGGGTTCATGAACGAATCCCTCATGCTTGAATGGATCCGGCTCGTGTGGAACCGGCGACCCGGTGCCCTTTTTCAACGACCGAGCATGCTGGTGCTCGACTCTTATCGCGGTCACCTCACGGCCGATGTGAAGCGATCGCTGTCCGATGGCAAGACGGATCTTGTTGTCATCCCCGGGGGACTGACATCTATACTCCAGCCACTGGACGTTGTGCTGAACAAGCCGTTTAAAGGTCGCGTGCGCGAGCTCTACAGTGAGTGGATGCTGGGAGACAATCCCAAGACCCCCGCTGGCCGCCTACGGCGTCCACCGCTCGCAACCGTTTGTGGCTGGGTGTCGTCAGCCTGGAAATCCCTCCCGGAAGAGATGGTTCGCAAATCCTTCCGCAAATGCTGCATCAGCAACGCGTTAGACGGCACAGAGGACGATGCACTCTGGGACATCGCTAGTGAAAAACAAACATCATCCGACTCGAGTTCGGATGAGTCCGAGTAACTTCGTGACCTCCTAGCATTGAACAGTGTCTAAATAAAAATGAATGTTACCACAGTGCAGCTAGTTGCGTTGCGTTTTTATCAAGGTAAGGGTGTGCCGCGATACTTTGCGATTTTTTTAAATTTCTTTTTTTACGATTCGAAGTTTTGGGGGGTCGTCCTATATTGCGGTCCGACCTATAGTCCGGTTTTTACGGTAATCATGGCTTGTCCTTTGCTGCGCCGGCTAGTTTGTGGCTCTTTCATTAAAACCTGGTCACAACTTTGATGCAAACAAGAGAGAATTTCAAGCTTAACAGCTGTCACCAAAAAAAAAAAAAGGACGTGTTGACCCGAAATGCAACGCTGCGAAAAACAAGACATTTTTAATGCAACACAGTAGTGACTAGCGGGCAGCATGTTGCCTGCTCCTCGTTGCGTCAGCACGTCATGATGCGACCATTCGCCCATTCTTTCTGGTAAAATAAAGAATTTCACATTAGACAGTGTGAAGAAATTCGCGATGTGCTTTGACTAGAAAACATCACTATTGAAGCTGTCGACCCGAGTTTTCGAAGTAGGCGTTGCAGGCAAGCACTCCGCCAGCAGTGCAAGTGCGCATGCAGATTGCTGGAACAATTGGCACTCGGAGGTTCGCCTGTATCGCGGATTTCTTCAGAATGTCCTCCTTTATTATTTATTTCCATTCCCAGAAATAATTGATGAATCGTGACACGCTGAGGTTGCAAGAAACATGCAATATGCTGCCCGCACGTCACTGCTGTATTGCAGTGAAACATGTCTTGTTTTCCACAGGCGCATAATTCAGTTGGTCACGAGGCCGGTTTTTTTTTTTTATTTAATTTTTCGTGCTGGAAGTAGGGAGGCAGGAGTGCTTCAGCTAGCACTCATTAGTATAGCTCAGGTATCTAGCCTAGTGGCTCTTAAGGGCAGTTATTTTCTCAAATTTACGGTAAAATCAGGATCAGGAGTTGGCACACTGCACCCAAAGTTTTCGAATTAACCGCACTTGTGCCGACGGCTGCTTCAAATTATCCGCTCAAACTTACATTGCGAAATATGGGACCGCGGAAATACTTTGAATTAAGCGGGATTTCGAATTACCAAGGTTTTACTATACATTGAAAAAACCGCCCGGCCTGTGCGGTAGGCGCAACACAGTCACAGAGAAAACTAGAAGAGCTGCCTTTCAGAGCCTTTTCAAAACACTCATTGGGTAACTACTGCAAGCACACTTGCTTGGTACCCATTAGTGCATTAATAATAAACTATTGGGTAGTAGGCCGGCATTCGCTATGCTATTTTTGTCATTCTTCTGAGAAGCGTGGTATCCGCTAAACACTTGCTAGAAATTTTGTGCCAATTGTCCATGCAGTGGCTGACGACGCTGAGGAATTATGGCTGAAGTGGGTATGCACCACAGTTAGTAGGAAAACAAGAACAAGCTTTTGTAATGGGCTGGAGCATTGGACGGCCCACTCATTAGGCTAATCACATTGTGCGACGGTTGGTTGTTCTATAGCTGTTGTAAAACAGCTTTACAAGTCATATTAATGTGATAGCTTTCCCGACATCAAGCCTACCTAAGGCAAGTTTGACAAGTCACAAGCACTGCAGTAGCTCAGTGGTAGAATACTGGGCTGGCACTCAGTGGACCCGGGTTCGAGCTCCACTGTGCCATTGGTGCTAGGTCATGCCTGCCTAAGGCAAGTTTGACAAGTTACAAGCACCAGTGTAACTCAGTAGTAGAACATTGGGCTGGCACGCAGTGAACCCGGGTTCAAGCCCGACTGTGTCATTGGTGCAAGTTTTTTTTCACTAATTTCGTGCGATGTGGGTACGGACACAGACGGCGGCAGACAACATGCAACTGCGCGTGAACCGAGTTGTTATCTCATAACAGCTTTGGCTGTAAAAAACTGTGGAACGTTAGCACCAAGTTGTAGAAAGCTTGGTGCAGCGAAGATGGTTGATCCTCAGCTTGTCATGCTGCAGCACGGCAATTACAATACCAATGGCGATTGCACACAATGAACTTGGCCGAAGAAGTGGCAGCCAAGAAATGGCAATGGGATGACCCAGAACATACAAGGCTTGCCAGTCTGAATGTGTCGAAATCACAATCCCTGAGCCATGATGTAAGAAACTGTAGCAGTTGCTATGGCAATGGCTAGGCAACAGCTGCTGCCCAGTGTGGTGGCCGTTAGGCTATTTTTAGTGCATGAGGTACACAGCTGTGGTGGTGTTTCTGGCAACGATGTAGCAAGGGTTTTTCCTAACGAACATCTTACTAATGGCTTTCACAGCTTCGCTGCAAAAAGCAGAGCACAAATGATAGCCCCTATGCCTCCCTTGGCTTCAGTGTTTGAACTAGGCTGATTGTAGCAGAGAAACAAGCCCTTAACTCATTTGCTAGAGACTTTCATTGTTTAACCGTGTTTAACTGTGCGCAAATGTTCTCAAAATAGAATTTCACTCTAGCGAAAGGCAAGGGGGGACTAGAAGTACGGATGATGGAACACCTGTTCGGTGGCCGATGGTTGATCATGGCTTCGGCAATGGGCAGCTGCAGCGTGGCGTGTGCTAAGGACAGGTAGTCGGCCGCCCGCTGCTCGGCCTCATCCAGCCAGCCTTCTGCAAACTGGGAGGAGTAGCAATTGTCTACGGCGCACAGGTGCCGCAACAACGGCCCACTTGCTGATCCTGCAAAACATCAGAGGTCATATGTAAGCTGCATAGTCAGCAACACGAAAAACTAGAGGCTACTAAACATTAGGGCCTTGCCTGCGTTATAAATCCAGAAATTTGGCAAGACTTGATAATACTGCACGAGTCTTCAGAACCAGTAAAAAACAACAAATACTAAGCAATAAAATTTGGTCAAAAGTACCACGATACTCAAGTAAATAAATTGATGAGAACTAACGGGTTAATGAAGGAAGGTCTTTTGTTCTAATTATGATACAAAAACAAGAAAGTGAATTCCAAGATTGCATAATCTATCCGTTCGTCTGTCTCGCCACTTACGTTTGGGTGCTCTTGAGATCCGAAAATGTGGAGGGCTCTGGAAATTTCAACCAGCAGGGCTTCTTTAACGTGCACCCAAATCTGAGCACAGGGGCTTACAGCATTTTCGTCTCCATCAAAAATGCAGTCTCCATGGTTAAGATTAGAACAATTTAGGAACGATGAGAACAGACCGGTAAATTTAATGTGAAAGCGTCAAAAAAAAAAAAAAACTGACATCAGCAGCGTCGACCTGATGATTGCAAAGAATAAGTGTCAAAGTCTCAGCAGAAATCGAACCCAAGCGTTCCGAGAGGCAACGAAGTATTCTAGCCTAGAGCCATCTCAGGTCTCAGAATTGGTTTTGAAAAAAAAAAACACTAATGTTTGTAAAATGTCAACTGCGATTGCAGTGCTGGCATCTATTTCATAAAAATTACATATGTACTTCTACGATACAGCCGCTACATCGGGTTACTGTCAACTGCAGTTAAGTGCCATCCACTGAAGTCAACTTATGTAGCACTGTCAAGGCTCACTGTCTTTGCGAGCACAAGCGCTACATACAGTTGCCGACCAATTTTTTTAACCTGACAGGGATCGCGAAATAGTCCTAAAAATCAAACAGTTCGAAAAAATGGTCAAGCAGTGAAAATGAAGTTTATTCAGATCAAAAAGCCTTGAGAAAAACCCCTATAATGCCATGCTTCATGCTGTTCTTGGGGATAAGATAACTTGATTTTATTTGGACTACAGTAACGTGGCTCGCAATCGCGTTGGCAATCGCTGCCGCTGACCCGTCGACCATTGCGGGCGGCAAAGTTGGTGGCTCTATGTAACCATGACAAACAAAACTTGATGCCGGTCGCGAAAATATGCATGCAACTTCTCGCCTGTTTGGTTAAATTTAACAAGACGGTCTGGGCTTATTTTTCCTGCGTCAACATCACACAGTATCTGAGCATTTTTAGCATTTCACCACTCTCAAAACGCTACCATCGCAGCTGCGATTAAACCCACGTGTTCCAGGAGTAGCCGAGCACTGTGACCACGGAGTGCTACTGAGCAACCACGAACAACAGGGAGCATGTGATGCGCACGACGGCTCAAACACATTCGGCATACCAATAACACGACCCCGTGCGCAATGACAACCAGAACAACAAACGCCCAGAAAATAAAAACAACCACCGGCGTATTATTGACGACGATGAGGCTCACTGAAAAAGAAAAGTATTGCAGTTTTGCTAGCCAAGAAAGATTAGATATCGCCTCCGAAACTGAAAGATTGTGCGCGCTTCCAATCTTGGAGGACACAACTAGCCAAACTCGACCAATCGAACATGATGGCTTCCAAAATCGAGTGGCATAGCTATGGTGGCTAGAAAGGTTTTGCTAGTGTCGTGAACAGGCGCCTTCCCGAGCGGCGGAGGAGAAACCGGATTCTATGCACCGCGATGCGGCATTGTTTGTTGCTGGTGCGCTGGCAAGTGATGGAAGAGGTTGACGACAGGGTGCAGATGGCGGCAGTGAAACTGTGTCCCTGCCGCAAAACTGCTTCTGAAAACACATAATTTAACCAAGATGTTATCACTAATTATCTTCGTGGAAAGGGCAGAAAGAAATAAATATAATTTTTTACAATCAATATAGCTTTCTTCAGATGCATAAACTAGGAGTTCAACGTATTTTTGCCGCGTGCACACGATTTTAGTTGTCTTAATGGGATGGCATCTGCTTCACAATGCTGTTTCACCAGTGCTTTCTTTCCTCCCTCCCTCCCCCCCCCCCCCCCCCTCATCAAGGTGGATGTTTCAGATGACAAAGGCTGCAATGGTCAACAAGTAACTGCCAGACTAATAAAGCATTAACGAAAAAAAGTATGCAACAGAGTACGCACTTTTTTTAGAGCTGTCCCAATTGTTATTTGGTAAACATACCTGCCTTATTGTGCTCTCTACGCACGCAGAAAGCAGCTGCGACAAAGTTCCTTGAAAATAAGAGTGTCATTTGCTTAGGTGTGTGTGCAGGTGGTAACGAAGGGGGGACAGCTGCCCTCACAAAGAGGGGGGGAGGGTGCCAAGTCTGCCCCATACATTCGATTAATAGGGAGGGAAACTGCTGCTGCCATCCACCTCTGCCCTTTTCCAAGGCGGATGTTTGAGCTGGCAAAGACTGGAATGGTCGTATATAGTCACTGCCGGACGGATAAAGCAACTAAGGAAAAAAAGTGCACAGGAAAGAGGCCGCACCTTTTTTTTTTTTTTTTCAACTGAGTTAATCGTCTTTGCCAATTGTTAACTTGGAAAAATTAATGCATCCACTCAATATTGCTCTTCTGCATATGCAGAAAAGAGCAGTGACAATGTTCTTTGAAGACCAGCATTTGAAGCTTAGGTTGTACGCACGTGGAAGAGGAGTGGGACAGCTGCAGTCACTGGGCAAGAATCTTCCGTGGGAATTTTGATTTTGTTTTTGCAAAGTCTCGTTGCAAATAGGGGCACTGAGAAATCGAAGTTTGCATCCAGCTATTTCTTGGCTTTTACTAACTATTCTTCCTTTTTTTTATTTGTTAATGTAAGTACATCTATTTCGTTTGTCACAGCTTTTTAATATGTTCAATACTTATTCTTCATGAGTGCATGAATTTTAATTTATTCTCTGCTGATGCTCATCTTTAATTAATTATTTATGACTTAGTGTTCATTTCACTAAGGTATACCTGCTACTTTTTTTTCACTGTTCTGTTTTTTCACATTCTGGATCAATACACTTGTCCTTGCATCTTTCTATCTGGTTGTTATATTTTGTTTTTTATATAACAGCTATAAATATATATGAATATTGATCTATTTATACTAAAACGCAAATGTGCGGAAAAGAATGTTAATAAAATGGGACTGATGCCCCGAATCTCTTACATCTTCATTACGTGCACGCTATATATCCCGCTTGTATGTGCTGTTCAGATGAATATAACCTGTCGGCATACTCTGAGGATTAGTTTTTTACCCTTCGTTTACAATTTATTGGCCCCCTGTGCGATGAGCACAGCGACATTGTATCGTTGCCACAAAGCTTGTTTTAAACGAGAAACACTCGCGAGCGCGAACTTAGAGACGCGTAAATGCTGCGCACCAACGAGCGGTTGCACCCTCTGGAGGCTGTATTGTAAACTCTTCTAGCTTTGCTACCTTGTTCACGTCAATAGGGAAAGCTTTCTAGCCACTATAGCATAGCTCAAGACAGTCGACTTAGTCAGGAAAATCAAACTGTGTTTTCATAAATTTGTCAGACAAATTGGTTGCAAAAGTGCATCAGTGCAATGAGAACCTTGACAGTGCATGTGAAGTCCAAAATATCCAACAAGTTCGAATTTTTGGAATTCGAAAAATACATTGGCAACTGTATCTGCTTGCCACTTCTGGTGTTACTAATAACTATGTAGATGGTGGCATCATTACCATACCTGCCATGTTCAAGGATTCTGAATCCGGGAGATTTTTGTAACGGGGAGAGGGGGAGAGTGCATTGAATTATTTGCTCCTATTTTTTGTCGGCACAAAAAAAAAACTAAAGACAAACAAACAAACAAAAACATCCAAAGAAACAAGAGGGGGTGGGGGTCTCAATCAATCTTATAGTGGCTTGGAGTGGCCCCACACGAGAGTAGGGTTTCCCGGCCACTAAGGTGAGAGTCTCAAACGATCAACACAACTAGCAAAATCTATTTCTGTCAAAACAACTCGGGTATATCTTCCTGGGGCACACGTGAAAGGATGGGACGGCACAGCTGGCTGCACAAAAGCGCTGGTTAAAGCTTTGCTCACTACTAGATTCTTTTGACAGGAATGCCAAAATGCGCCTGGGCGCTTTTTATTGTGATAGCAATTATTTGAACAGTGATTCACTGTATATGTATGTATTGTGTATATATATATATATATATATATATTGTAGTGGGGAATTCGCAAGGCAATGATAGTGGGACCATCGCTGAGTGCGAAGCGCGAGCACGAGCTGTAGACACTGGACTGCCCGAGCATTTGTTTCTGTACCGGCTGTCTGCCTATTACCTGGCGTCGCTAATAAACCCCCTTGCAAAGTGGTGGAAGTGTGCTGGGTACGCAAACCTGGAACTTCGAAGCCGGAAGCTGCCCACTACATCAGCAATGCCTGATCAGACGACTGAGCAAGGCACCACCCAGCAAAGCACGGCCCAATCTCAACTGGTCATCGTGCCTACCACCCTGCGCCAACGAGATCCGCCCTTCTTCAGTGGCACCGAGGACCAAGATGTGGAGGACTGGTTGCAGCTGTTTGAGAAGGTGAGCGCCGCCAACAAGTGGGACGACCCCTCGAAATTAGAGTATGTCCCATTTTATCTCAAAGACGTCGCCAGCCTGTGGTTCACAAACCACCGCACTGAATTTATCACTTGGGCCGGTTTCAAGACCACCCTCGCAGCTGTGTTCGATCGCCCCGCAGTGCGCAAGCTGCGTGCTGAGCAGCGCCTACGCGGACGTGCACAAAGGCAGGGCGAAAACTTCACAAGCTATATTGAAGATGTAATCGATTTATGCCGGCGCTTCAACCCTGAGATGACCGAACATGACAAGATCAGGCATATCTTGAAAGGCATAGACGATGATGCCTATCAAATGTTGCTGGCAAAGAGCCCAAGTACCGTATCCGAA